TATACGTCTACGTCTACGTCTACGTCTACGTCTACAAATTCCAAGGGTCTCCTTCCTTCATTCTGGCTTTCCCATCAAAATCCTATATGCATTCTTGCTTCCTGCCATGCATGCTACATTACCTGTACACCTCAACCTCCACACCTTCATCATTCTACTTATACTTGGCGAGGGGTACAAGTTACAAAGTTCCTCTTCATGCAGTTTTCTCCAACCTCCTAGCACTACATCCCTCCTTGGATAAAATATTCTTAACAACCTCGCACCACGCTCCCCCTTTAATGTCAGACAAAAAAGCTTCACACACATACAGAATCATGGGCAAAATTATAGTTTTATATACATACATTTTATATTTTACATTTCCAGAGAGCAGACAAATAGAAAGAAGGTTCTGGAAAGACTGGTAGCAAGCACTGCCCAAATTCAATGTCCTCTCAATTTCCTCCTCAAAGATTCATTTGTTACCATTCTTCCAACATATTTGAACTCTTCCGCATTTTGAAAGGATCTGTTACCTATTTCCATACGTGCTTCTCACTGTGTTTACTTCTAGACCAACCACCTTACTTGTATCAATTAGGGCTTCTGTGTTTTTCTTTATGGTATTGTAACGTGCTTTGCCACTGAAGACGCCGTTCAGATTGTTAATTTGTTTATTTGACAACCTACAAATCGTAACTACAACTGATTATAACACTCTTGTGGGTTTACACACTTTACAAACCCTACTCACAAATCTCTTCACACTATCTTCAGTATAGCACACGTTCCATTCTTCTTCCCGCGACTGCTACATTTTTCTCACTCCTTATCAAGTCCAAGTCAAAGTCAGACTGACGGTCAGTCAGTCAGTAAGTCCTGGTGTCGAGCCCCATCTAGGGCTCATGACCAGATATTAATTATCACTGTTTGACAATTACGGTCTTATTTTTGTGGGGCGCCCTCTCTGACGAGGACGGGTCTGCCTTTTGCATACGCTGCTGGCCCTTGCCAGCGCGGTCTTTCTCAGGTCCGAGTCCCTTGGGACTTGCGACCATATTTTACTGTCTCAGATTTGAGACTTCCCTTTTCGTCGCCTCCTACGACTCGCAGGGTCACGGTGGAGGTATTTGACCCCGCCTCCACACGGGCATCCCTCTCTCGCCTCACTCCTTATGCATTCCACTCTCCCTTATAAGACCCCAGTCAGACAGTGGGAAACCCACCTCGCTTCATTGTTGTGTAAACACCATGTTTACAGGCGCTGCTGGGCAACGCTGCTGAGTTGTTTAATGCCGCATAGCAACCAGCACGCTTCAGCTCGGCTCAGCTCACTTCGGCTCGGCTTAGCACGGCATGAACAAGCACCGTTTTCCTTACCGTTGCATAACCTCGTTTCCACTGTTGCGTAACCCGGCAACTGACCTTTTATCCAGAGTCTGTCTTCATGGTAACTCGTTCCACCTCCTGTTGCCCAGCAATGGTTACACATGTCACAGTATCTATGCTTCCTCCCAATAGATTCACATCATCATCATCATCATCATCATCACAGGCCAGCAGTTAACTTGTCTCATTTAATATCAGTCCCACCTGGTTTTACTCCACCCTCCTAATAGCATACTCTAAAGCAAAGTTCAAAGGCAATGAGCGTAAAGCATCTCCTTGTTCTAGGCAATTTCAGGCAGAAAACACACCAGAAAATTTTTACAACACATTTCACAAATCTTAATCAACATAACTAGTTTTGTTGGTACCCCAAAATCTATGAGAATACTATACAAATATTACACATGTCACAATATAGTTTTCCACGCCTTTCCATGTATAAGAGGTCTTATGACATGAAATAATCTTCAAAAGTTCCCGATATTAAATGTCAACATTCTTACCATGGATTTTCAACAATATACCATAATAATAATATAAAACACAAAATACAATAAAGAGTAATGATTTCAAATGACATAAGATTAAGGTAGGTTGCTGCAATCGTAACGTTTAAGTCGTACTGTTTTTGCAGACATATGGCGATAGTTTTCTTGCTCTTATATGTGTGTTAAGTGATTAAAATGCTTGGAGGCCCCTTGTTATGCGTGCAGTATTATCTAGTTTTCATATGTGGAAGTAATATAAAGATAATATTATTTGACAGGTACCTCTATTTACGTTTATTATGTCCCGTCTGGTAGAAAAGCTGATTGTGGATTATATCATGGTATATTGTCGTAAATCCAATAATACTGTACTGAAATATACAGTGTGCAATTCAATAGCTTTGGAACATGTTAATTGTGTATTTCCCTGATGAAGGCTACCTAAAAACCTGAAACATGTACCAAAGTACTATTAAACGTCAACAGTTTTGTTGTGTTGTTGTGATGTATTTTAATAAAGAAATTTATATATTTAACACTACAGGATGCATCCAATGGAAATTAAAATTATAATTTACAATAAACAAATTCACATACTGTGAATATTATCAGTCACATTAATACGTATCATATAACTTAAGTAGTATGGCGAGCCTTATGAATGTGAAACACTCATATTCACAAAGAGCCTGACATTGACGTCAATAAGAAAACAACTGAAGTAGAATCAATACTACGAGTTATCACGCTTAGAGCAAGAATGTATGTGAGGCCACATCCTTAATGTTACATGGAACTCTGTGATTCATGCATGACAGGGCTGGATACTAGACAACTACTACTTCAACTTCGCTAATAGGGTCCTTGGAGCTCATATGATTAAAGAATTATGTGCAATGCAACTCAAACACCCAAAGCTAACAGTATGAAACCACCATGCTCCATAACAGAAACCATTATAACTTGGTTCACAGACATTAATATTCTCATTCATCACAACACCTAACTCCATGGTGTCACATATTTATTACCTACTCATCACAAGGCAAACAAAATTATCAGGAAGATATTTACACCTAAGAAGGATCACATCTCAGCAATTCAGGACACTGAACTAACTATACAGTATATCACCCAGAATTTCTGACACTTCAGTAGCCTCACAAGTAGGAAGCACAAAACATTAATACCAAATTTTCTGTGGGGAAACCTCCTGGAAAGTGGATGCTTGCAAGATGGAACACCTCATGGCTGAATAACATTAAAACAGGAGGTCTCAATAAGCAGATACTTGGATCACAGCTCAATTCAACTGGCTATAAATCACATCTAACAAACATCTCTGTGACCGTGGCTTTCAACCTTCATATTCTGCTGCTGCAACACTGCTTCTTAACATTCAATCAGTCACTTAATGCCTTCCCTAAGGTTTAGAACCATGACAAGCAGTAATCATGTCTCTACTATAAACAAAAACTCGGGAGAACTGCATTCGCAGATGTTATGTTTAAGCACATATAATCATTAAGAGCAATATAATCTTCACACTAGTAGAACAGAATGAAAATACTAGCAAATGTTATGAGTGCATTTCCAGTAATATCAAGGGACAATATTAATATCTGATGTCTAAATTCATTCCATTAAACTAAATTCCATCATTACTTCTGCAGTTGTGGGATGATAAGATGCTCAATGACATGCTTCATCAACATTAATCAAAACATGGGTAATCTGTCCAACATACTCCAGTTAACCTCACATCTCAACCTGCCACTGAATACTTACTTTATTCCTCTCACTAGAATAATCTACTGTACATAACAAGCATCAAACTCAATCAAGTCTAAAGAAATCCAGTGAAACTCTACACACTACTTGGTAACTGTCATCACCCTCCAAAATGTGCGATAACACAAGAAACACAACTGTACAACCTACATGTTTCACTAACAGGACACAAATATTAATATTAATCATACAATTAGTACCAGTGGATTCAAGGGAAATTCGTTTACATGGTATGAATACTATTCCACAGAAGCCCACACCAACATAAATTTATTTTCCTACAATAACATAATACTGCATGATGGAGACAAAACCTGTCACACTGTGTTCATGATTCATGTCACTGTGCATTCAGGCAGGGAAGGGCCTGGTTCAGTTACCTGAGGTTATAACAACTGGGGCATAATAATCAATGACCAAGACACCGCATGTTCATGCTACCAGAACATTTTGCACACGTCCAACTCTTCAAAATTCCCCAAGGATCTAAAACTTACAAAACTCTATCCTTCAAAGTGGTTAGTATTCCTGAAGGCTGGTCTGGTTTACTTATGGTAAGTAACACTGGAGGTGTAGGGAACTGCACATAATCTTGGAGTTATATTACCACTCTTCCACACACTGCCCTGGTTTCCTGAGAGATGAACACATGGTTTTGACCATACTTTCTTTTTGTCTTTGTAAATACAGTAAAACTTGGTTATAGCAACATCGGTTTCTGCGACACCTTGTCTATTGCGTCAAATATTCAATGGTACGAACTGATTCCTCATAAAGCAACTGTTTTTATACCTTGCTTAGTACGACATGCACAAATGCATCAACCTCGTATGTAACGTCATTTTCATTCCTCAATTTCTCTGATATGGACATTGAACGTAATTTAGAAAGTGTGTATTGGGCAAGTAACAGGAAACAGATGAAGATAACTGATTACTGTACTCGTATCTAGGTACAGTAAGGCACAACAATTGATGTAATCTACTGTAATTTGGTGAGTAGGCCTACCTTTAATATACAGTATTAGTGCGGTGTGTATTGTCAGTGAAAAGCGCTGTAATATGTCTTTGATATTACACATTTGGGCAATTCCACGTCAATGTTACGTTAGTCTGTACTTAACTACGTATTTCACTAAAAAATGCAACATTTTAACTCGGTTTTTGGTGGATTTTTACGTGACTAACATAAGGCTACTGTGGAAGTGCCCATTTCGGTTACGACGACATTCGTTTATAACGACACTATTTTTAGGTCCCTTTGATGACGTTATAACCAAGTTCTACTGTACATAATTTACCACATTCAGTCTCCAGTCATGTACAACACAAGTAGTTATTTCGTTCTTACCTGCAGATCATGGTGCCAGCACATAAATGGAACTCAGATATTCAGACCCATGTTATCCAAGAGGACGTGGATTCTCCTAAACAGTAGGCAGATACCACATACGTAGAATCAAATCCACTCCTCCCTCCTGCACCCACTGAAACACATTGTGCACGCCATTAAAGACTTGATACGAACTTATTAAAGATGAACAGATGGCTAGTAATAATTAGGCCATGCTCCTCACTACGCACACATTCTACTTGCCTCCAAGCTGCCTCTGATGAGTAGATTGGTCATCTGTCCGTTTCGGTGCCTATACCTCAAATTCCCTACACTCAACATGCAGTCCCAACGTTCCAATATATTGTTATAACAAGTAACCTGTATCATGTAACAGATCCCATCTTACCTCTCAATTATCTGTCGCTATCATCTAGAGCTACATTATTCACTTAAAGGAGCAGGTAATATCAGTCTGCACCCGAGGCGTTCTCTTCAGTTGAAGCATCGCCTCACTCCACATACTGGCACAGCTCGGACAGATTAACTGGTGCATCATATCACTATGTATCCAAGAGCGATTCTATGTTTCAAGATATCTCACATATGTAAGTATTTCTAATACTTATTAACCTTCACATTCCCAAAAACCTCCAACCTCCCACACTTTACACAATATCCCCACATTCACAACTGCAGGATATATAAACTTTGATATTCCTCACAAGTATCCAACTTCTATAACGTAGACAACCATTCCTATCAAATTTCACAACGTCCTATGATTTACCAAAAAGTACCTTGCTCCCACTTCTTTTTCCTCCCGGCATTCTGGGCCACTTGTCTGGGCATCTCATTTACATCGACTTCTAATAGGTTAAGTTGGAAGAGTTTACAGCTCCACTTTCACGGGCAACTTACACCACCTTCACGCACAGTTTTTGCGGCTATCAAGAGATGAACACGAGCAGTCTTTCTGGGTTTTCGACAGTATATATCATATGTAAGATCTGAGGTTTATATCTTATAGTTTACCTTATGTGGCTTTCATCATGCAAAAGCGTAATGTACCGGTTACCAACATACTGACGTGCCAACATAAACCTACCCTAACTGAAACGTACGTACGTCTGTAATATTAA